CAATTTTGCTTAGTAGCCTAAAGGTTGTTTACTTAATAAAATATTTAGTTATAGCAAAATGTTTTTGGGGAGTTTTGGTACAAGTGATCTACGGTAAGAGTTCCTTTTTTACTCTACAACTTTATTTAGAAGCTTAAAATAAATTTAATTAATAAATTATTTTTTATTTAAATTACAAAAAATATTTGCCATCGAGTTTATATATAATTTTAAAATAGTACACTCTACCCTTAATAATAGTAGCTTGCTCAATTTGATACAATTCGTTTAGTTTATCAATTGCTATAAATGTTGAGCTTCTGTTGCAAATTTAAACTTTTTGTATCAAGGATCTAACAATGCTGAAAGTAAAGTAGTCTCTTTTGGACAATTCCAATATTGATACATACTTAAGTAAATAGTAGCTTTGATCTTCTCTAAAACACCTATAGTAGAAGTAGGTAAACTTATAGTATAACAGTTTTTGAATTGTAATTATTGATTACTAGTTGTAACTTCATTATCAGTATCTTCATCTTAGCTTGCAACTTCATCTAATTCATCATTTAATAAATTTGTATAATATTCATTATCTTCATCTTCAGATAGAGCTACAGTTTTTTTAAGGTAGTGTATTGTATAATAGACTATATTAAGAGTAGCATATGTAACATCTGATAACATTTTAGTTGCTTCATAAAAAGGAGCTAACAAAGCTAATATGTCAGAAAGTAGACTCTAATAATTGATGTAATTTAGTTACTAAATATTATATATAATTAAATTAAATATATATTTGCAAATATTTTATTTATACAATTGTTTATTTTATGACACATAATAAATCCAGTTAATTTTCTATAACAAACTCTAAATTCTGAATAAAATCAGTTCGCTATATAATGTTTACTATAGTTGTCTTAAAAAAATATCTTTTTTTTTAATATTAAAATTTAAAAATTTTTATTTCATTATATAGTCAACTTTTTCTATAACAAACTGTTAATTCTGGCTATTAAAAAAAGTTCACTATATAAAACTACTATATTTTTTTAAGAAACTATGACTCTTTTTATACTGAACTATTATAAAATTCAAAATTTTTTGGTTCATTATATCCAGAGTTTATTATATAGAGATTCAGTATAAAAAGAGTCAACTATATCCAGTGTTCATTACAGAGAGGTTCATTATATTCAGAGTTGACTGTATATTTTTTTTTATAATTACTTTTTTAGAATCTTTTACTAATTTTTTTGTTAATTATAAAATTGTTCTAATACTATACCAAAATTAACAAACCTAAACCAAACCCAGTGTATGACTGGCTTGCTAATTTCCCGATTACAGACAAAATGAAACTCAACACCAAACTCCAAACCAAGCTATCATTCCAACTCTTCAACTTTCTCAAAGGAAATCTCTCTAACTTTACTCCCG